GCTGGGGGATTGAACCGCGGTCCCTGATGCCTTGCCAAGCTTGTTCTAAGTAGGTGCTTTAGACCACTGAGCCATCTCTCCAGCCCCTCAAGTCAATAACTTCTGAGGATAACCCACTAATATTATAGACTGCTAGACAGTGTTGGATTGTTTAGCTGAATTCAAACACCTATAGTATTTAGATGCCAATAGAATATCTACCTCTGACAGGACTAAAAAAAAAGGGGGGGGATGCAAAGGAAAGATCATTTTGTATTTATACATACAAAATAGTTGGGATAGATATACAGCTACTATAGCTTAATTCAATGAGAAGAGGTGTACTAATAGTGTTTGGACAGGATATATTGTCTGCTTCTTGTACTATGGTTAACCACTAAGAAGATAACAATGTACAATGTATTGATTTTCTAAACTCTCCCATTAATTAGCTTTGAAATTGTCTCATTCATTTTGTAAGTTAGCTCAAGTAAGGGTAATTAAATATAACAATTATATTGGCTAAAATGCAAGTATTTTATTAGAAAAGAGATATGTGCACTAATAGTGTCTTTCTCTTGGAGAATAACTAGATGTGGAATAGAGGTGAGAGGGAGGGTTTTATCGTGTACTCTTTTTTCCCCTTTGAATTTTGTATTATTTACGTATTTATTAAAAACTAAACTATGTGAGAATACCTCAACCTATTATTTTTTTATTAAAATACTGAGTTTATTTCACATGTATGTTTATCTCCCTACCATCTCCATGTCTGACCACCACCACTACTTCTATGTCTTATCATAACATTCCATACATACTTAAAACCAAGTAAAGGATGGTGTTGCATCTTTAAAAACTAAACAGGCCCTTCAGACAACACATTCTTGGCAATGGGACCTGGACAACATTTATCAAACACGGTAGGGAAAGTTCTCACTTTGCATTACCTCAACCTATTAAATCAATTAATTTGTTAATAGTTGCAGTCTCTTGCCCCATTTCTTACCCAGATTAGCTATAAGAATGTCACATGATGGTGACAACATATTGATGTGGAAATGAAAAAAATCAAGGAAGGCTTCATGAAGAAACAAGATTTGGTGATGGCAGAATGGAGGAAGCAGCACAGAAGATTCCACATGGACCTTCATGTTTGCCTTTAGGAGGGAGGTTGCACTCGCTCTATCTTGGCTTTATCATCTGTCATCTGGTAAGGACACCAAGTGCATTACAGGGTAGGAGTGGGAATTAAGTTTGGTAGATTGCACTTATTAAAAGGTAAACAAGACTGTTATCTGAGAAGGAAGCTGAGGTTTAGGAAGGTTAAGCAACTTCCAGGAGATTCTAATCTGGTGTGGAGAAGACATACAAGTAAATAGGCAGTTTCAGCACACTTTGATGAGTTCTCAGGGTGGGCATCTGCTAGGCTAATGCACATGTACTGGTAGGCTGTCTTCATTGGGTTCCACAAGAGTAAAGCCTGCTATGGGGCTCCAGTGTAAATGTCTGAGGAATATCCTGAAAAGAGCCCCGTGAGAGTGAAAACAGCAGCACAAGTCAGGGAAGAAGCTGGACAAGATATACCTCTAGGAGAGAGACTATACTAGAGTAAAGCCAGGTTGTTCCCCAGAACGGTGGCTAGGTAAATGGCTCATTCTGTGTCTCTTATAGTTATGAATGCATGCCACATGTGCCACTGAAAGCTCTAAAAGTTTTGCCATCACTGTCCTACACCATCTTCACCTCGTCAGTAAGCACCCTGTCATCCTCCACTATATTCTACTTATATCAAATGCTTCTCAGAAGAATTTGTGGCAGTGGCAACCTGCAAACATGACTTGCATTTCTGACTTGGAGCTGAGTGTTGCTTGTGCAGACAGGCAGTGATGGTCCAGATTGGGAAGGAACCCAAAGGCTCCAGACGCCCTTGCAGGAGTCCACTAACTAGTTTTTGGAATCTATCCATTCAGTCATTTTTCCTGAGACACAAACCAGAATATGTTACATCTTTAACTCCTTCAGAGATAGGGTAAGAAGTGGCAAATTATTACTAGGAAAGAAAAGCGGGGGGGGGGGGGCGCTGCCCCTTAGCTCAGTTCTTTAAGTGGCTGCTTTGGCTGCTTCAACAAAGCAGTCAGGCTCAGGTTGCTGTGGTTCGATCCCCACAACTCAAGCCAGCCAAACCTGCCCTGAAGGCATTTGGAGGAAAAAAAAAAAAAAAAGAAAAAGAAAAGAAAGAAAAGAAAAGAGGACCACTGGGGTCGGGGTGAGAGATCCTCTTGGGTAGTGTTGGGGAAGGGTAGCAATGTGCATAGACTTGTTCACTATTCAAATATCAAAACCTCTCCTCAAAAGTTCCACTGCCTTCCACTATCCTCAGAAGCAAGCCCATTTCTTTATAGGCTATGTAGCCCACTGTTACTCAGCTGCTCTAGACTTCCGGATCCCCAGTGTCATGTTTTTTCTTCTGCATCACCTTTTCTTCCCTTCTGTCTTCTCCATCTGTGTCAGGAAACCTGTCTCAGCTTTAGAATCACTTTTTCTTTTCTTTCTTTCTTTTTTCTTTTTCTTTCTTTTTATTCTTTTTTTTCTTTTTTTTTTCTTTCTCGGTACCGGGATTAAACTCAGGATCTTGCACTTGCCAGGCAAGTGCTTATTCTACTGTGCTATCTGCCCGGCCCAGAGTCACCTTTCCTAAAGGTACTTTTTTTGGTCTTTACTATTTTCTTTTTTGGTACCGGGAATTGAACTTTGGGCCTTGAGCTTGTTAGGCAGGTGCTGCGTAGCTGAGCTACATCCTCGGATCCAGCGTCACTTTTTCATGGCCGACTTCACTGCCTGAATCCTGACCCACCAGCTTGGCCAGCTCCCCGCTGGGCACCCCCCCCCCCCCGCATTCCAGCAGCAGGCACTTATGAAAACCTCAATGTATGAAGCAGAACAGTTTGCCTAAGAGGTCAGGACCCTTTGCGGGGGGGCAGCGCGATGCAGAGCGCAGAGCGAGTGCTCAGGCCTAAGAGGCTGCTGTGAGGCCCAGTGTGGGGAAGGTAAGCAGGCGAGCAGCGGCACCACGCACTCCTCTTGCACTGCTTTCTTGCAGGCGGAGGCGACACTATCAAGGCCCCCTGGCTGAGAGCTCCAAAGGAGGGCAGGACGACGAGGAAGTTCGAACCTGCTGCTTGAGGAGTCAGGCGGCTAATGTTCCTTGTATTAGTCATAACACGGCCTTTCCCCGAAGGAAAGGAAGACGGACCATCCACTAGGCCCGAAAACACCGAAGACGAGCCTCCCAGACCTGGAGCGGAGGGCGTCGGCGCCTGCGCACTAGGGTCCGCCCACGCGCTGGGGACCCGCCCCGCCTCGGCCCTCTGCGTGCGCACCGCCTAAAGCCCGTCCCCCCAGAAAGACTGCCGGCGCATGCGGCGGGAGCGGAGCACTGGCTGCTGGCAGCTCAAAGCGTCGGTCGCTGGCCTTGGTCTGCAGCTGACGGAAGAAGCTGAAGCCAGCTTCAGGTAAGCTGAGTCCAGATATCCGGAGGAAGCGTTCTCGGGTGCGGGAGTCGGCGTCGCCCTTCGAGCGCGGTACGGACAGCCCCGCCACCGGTGATGGACGTCGCTCTCCACCAATGAGAGGCGAGATGACCCGGCATGCTGCCCAATGGGCTGTGTGTCTGAGAGCGGGGCGGGAGGCCAGGGCGGTGGCGTGCCGGCTCCCGCGCGCGGGCCGCGTGCCTGGGCGCCGCGGGAGAGGGGCCCAGTCGTCCGGCTGCTGCCGCGGGGCGCTACAGAGCCCGATGGCGGCGGTCAGCGCGGCCTGACCAGGGGCTCCTAGAGCCCTATGAGTGCCTTGCGCTAAGCCATCCCCGGAAAGCAGTTCCCATCCCCGCTATCCGGCCTCGGCGCCGGGGCTCCGTCCGCTGGGAGGGAGCGCGCAGGTCCGACATGCCCCTGCAGTGGGTGGGCCGGCCGACCTTGGCCCCCCGCGGCCGCGGCCCGGGCGGAGGAAGGGACCTGTGCGCCCTGGGGCCAGACGCTGTCCCCGTGGCCCAGCCTCAGTCGTCTGCTGTCTGCGGCCGCGTGTGAGGATGCGGCGTTCTAGCTAAGTTCGCTGCGTGTGCGTGGCGCGCTTACGTCCGCGCTTACTGGAATTGTGTATCAGCAGCCCCGTGACGCCAGCAGTACGTAGAGACTCACCCCATTTTTACAGCGGTGTGAGTCCAGGTTTACTGGGGGCTTACGTGGGGTCTCAGCGCGCGGGCGCTGAAGCTGGAGTTTGATCTCACAACTTTGATTACTGCCTCCCATGCCTTCCCCCGTCTGTGGTGGCTTTTCTCTGATGCATCTTCATTTAGGTTGCTAAGTGCTTGAAAACCTGATGCCTTCCCATCGCTTGCAGAATAAAGTTCAGCAGAGCATTTAAGAATGTACGAGTTGATCCCTTCCTTATACTGTATCTTCCTCCGTAGTGTTTTCTTGGCATTTGTCTCTGTTTTCGTCTGCCTATTCAGTCTCCCATGCTGTAAGGCTTTAAGACCTAAGTTAGATCATGCAGTTGGTCCTTCAAGGCCATCCGAAGCCTGGCCTAGAAAACAGCAGTAGGGATCTTCACTGACCCCAGGCCGACCCTCACTGCCCTCTAGTGAGACATGTACAGTACTTGAAACTGTGGTCCTGACACTGAGGACTTCCCTTGTTTAAAAAAATTTGATTTTACTTTTTAAAATTTGGTTTTTTTAAAGAGAAAACAAAAATAAAAGCAAAAATAAATAGCAAAACAAAAAGACAAACAGTAACAATATGGTACAAATTTTCAAAGCAAAAATGGCAAATTAACAATGGTTGTTATATTACAGATTTTTATCATCAAAACTAGTGCTCAGATTAACAGACATAGGTATGCAAGATTGGACAAATATTTAAACATTAACCTTTAAATAATCCTTAATTTTTTCTTGTCCTTTTACTTTTTATTTTTTAAATTTATTTTATCGGGAATATAATAATTCATAAAACATTAGGAATGATACACATTTAAAAGAACAAGATGAGAGGTATTCAACGTTGGTTTTTGTATTGCATGTTGCTGTCTACTGAAGACTTTCTATTCTGATTTACTTTTTTAGTCTTCTTATCATGCCTTTCATTTTCCCACCATCACTAAATTGCTTTCATTTTTAAATGTTTCTCAGTCTCATAATGGTTTGTCAGCAATTTGACAGCTCCAAAGGAGGGCCAGATGATGAGGAACCTGGAACTCTCTGCTTGCGGAGGATAAGTCAGGTTTGAGGAGGATAAATCAGGCGTCTAATCTTCCTTGTATTAGTCATAACATGGCCTGTCCCTGAAGGAAAGGAAGCCGGACCACCCAGTAGGCCCGAAAACACCAAAGACAAACCTCCTGGAGCGGAGGGCATGTATGGTTAACCGTGTATGGTTAATTATTGTGATCCCCATAAAATATAAGTGGGGTCCGAGGGTCTTCCATAAACGTGAGGGAGAGTCCTGTCAGCCTCTCACAGGATCTCTGTGACTGTTGGAATATTTATGGCCAGCCACTATGGGAGATGCCAGGATCTCGCAGAGAGGGTCACCTTCTTAAAGTAAAACTTGAGCCAGTCAAATACAAAGGGTTGAAATAAGTCCAGAAGTAACCTGTTCTGTAATCCACTCAGGAGTGGCTGAGAAATTTCTAGGAACATACAAAATTTAGTCAGTGTACATAGTTTCACCCAGGGATGCCTAGTCAGGATTTAACTAAAATGTAGCCAAGTCTGATAGTCATGTATCAATAAGGAACCATTCAACTTTAAGGTGACAGAGTAGTGTTTTCCCCAATTACAGGAATTTGGAGCCAGTAAATTTGAGGGAGCTGGATGCTATATACTCCTAGGAGATCACAGTTCATATTAATCTACTGTGTACTCCTAGTGGTCTTTCTTTAAAGGAAACAGATGACTGTTTAGTCCACATTTCTGTGATTTATTTGTCCATAAAACCCATATACATTTTGTGGAAACCAAAGAGCATGCTTTTGAAGTAGCCTCAGCAGAGAATAGAAAAAGCAGGACAGTTGTCTTCCTTAACAGTCGTAGAAGAAGATATTCTGAGCATTCTTATTTTTTACCTAGTGTGTTCATTCATTTTCTGGGGAGGCATGGGACCAGTGAGTGCCTCAAACCAAATTCCTGTTTGGTTATAATTTGGCTTCACACAGAATGTAGCTAGAGGAAGAAAATGTCTTCCTCATGCCAAAGCAAATGTTTTCTGTGATTTGGTGATAACCTTTCTTCTTTTTTTCTTTTTAAATCATATTTGAGCTTGCCAAAAAAATGATATTTCAGTGATGAATTGTGCCTAGGGAGCCTGTCACCATCTCCCTACTGATTTTTTTTTTTTTTTTTTTCCAGAACCAGGGATTGAACTCAGGCCCTTGCGCTTGTGCGCTTGCCAGACAAGTGCTTATTCTGCTGAGCTATCTCCCTGGCCCCTCCCTACTGATTATTGACGCTGTTTTCAGCACCCTTTTGACTGTGTTGTCTTTTGAGTCCCCCTCATCATCTTTCAAGTCCATTTCTTACTTTCCCTGCATGACTGTACTATTCTTTGGATTTAATCTCCCCTTTCTGCCTGCTCTGCCCGTGGTGTGATTCCGACTGGCTTATTTGGTGTCTGAGGTCCTCTCTCCAGTATATACAGTCTGCTCATGCCTTACCTGGGAGAGATTGCTAGCAAGGAGCATGTTGTTTAAGTTATGGAAGAGAACTAGCTGTACTTGAAAGAACTTAGGTTTAGCTATAATTCCTTTTATATGGTCAAATACTTTCCTTTTGGCCTGTCTCCCAAAACTTAGGGGAGCTGTGTTTTCTCAGTGATACACTGTAGCATAGCCAGACACATTATTGCTTTCATGGAGAATTGACTGCCTTATCCAAGATTGCAAATTTTTTTCCCATATAGGGGAAATAATGAGACATGTGTTTGGCATCCCAGTGTCTGGCAGTGATAGCAGCCAATGTTTAAGGCAGAGTGTTCTATCAACACTTATAGAACTGTATTTTGATTTTCAAGGTTATCAAAGGTTTAAACAAAGTTTTATTGTATAGTCGTTTTTCTACTCTTGTTTGACTAATGCCATTCAACATCCTAAGAAAAACGTCTGTCATGAACTGATTTAAACCTGACAAGGACATTCTGAACTCCTGGTCAACAATTCATTGAATTCATAGCCAGTAACTGGCAAAGCCAGTATCTGAACAGGTTGGTACATTGAGATATATTTTAATCTGTAAGTTTTCTTTCTTTCAGGTTAAAAAAGAAAATGAAGTACATTCTAGTTACTGGTGGTGTTATATCAGGAATTGGAAAAGGAGTCATTGCCAGTAGTGTGGGTACCATACTGAAGTCCTGTGGCTTACATGTAACTTCAATTAAAGTTGACCCCTACATTAACATTGATGCAGGAACGTTCTCTCCTTATGAACATGGTAAGCGATATTCATTTTTGTCTTCCTTTTACTTTCTAATTGGGTATGTGAAAGAACATGTTAGCTCTTGGGAATTGTATGAGTATGTTTATTAATTTATTCATTCATTCATGGTTCTGGGAATGGACCATGACTCAGGACCTTGAGCTTGTCAGGGCAGGCACTTGTGTCACTGAGTTGTCTCCAGCCCTGTCTGAGCATTTTTTTTTTTTTCCCTATATTTAGGTCAGGGTCTATAGGGTCTGAGTCTATAGATTGGACTCCTAGGGATTCTCCTGTTTTCAGCCTCCCAAATGCTGGGGTTACAGGCGAGGGCCACCATGCCCAGTCTCAATCACCACCACGCCTAGCCTCAATCAAGTCTCAGCTTGCTCAGCAGGGCATGGGGGTTGAACCCCAGCCTCTGGGCTCTGCTTAAGCAGTTGCTTTATTTTGCTGAGCTATCAGGCCGGCCCCCTGTCTGAGCATTTTGTAGTGGCTTTTATTCTCTGCTTTCTAAAATTATTCTTAGTACAGCAGAATGATGTTTGTTTGTTTGTTTTTCCTTCTCTGGACAGGCAGAAACAGAAATCTTAATAGGCAACTTAATGATGGTAGCCCGAGAGTTTCTATAATATTGATGATCTTTTCGGTAGTAGCTAAATAAAAATCTGTTATTTGTCTCAAAAAAAAAAAAAAAAAAAAAAAAACCAAAACAAACTACTTGGTGACACAATGACTTCAGATATTTGAGGAGAATGCTTTTTCCAAAAAGAGGCATGAGAAGAATTTATTAGAAGTAGTTATAAGGCATGTTCAAGAGCAGAGAATGAGTGCTCAGAAGTGAGGCCCAGTACAGTTAGGAACTGATGATCTCTGAAGTGTTTTAGGAGGTGCAAGTCTGTGGAACTTAATGATCTAAGATTTTAGTCTTAGAGGGTAGGAGAGGATGGTCCACCCTTAGTGAGCCTGATCTCTCTAAAGAGTAATCCCTTCATGGGTGAAAGAGGATTATTTGGGAGTAAAAGAAAACAGGCAGACATTTTGCACCAGAAAGGGAATTGCCCAGGTTTGCTATTTTGGGAGAAGGAAAAAAAGTAAATAAAATAGGCTTGTGTTCTGAAGCTACAGTTTTTCTGTAATAGTTATTAAAATTTTGACTTTTTTTTTCTTTCTTTTTTTTTTTTGCGGAACCAGGGATTGAACTTAGGCCCTTGCACTTGCCAGGCAAGTGCTTATTCTACTGAGCTATCTTCCCCAGCCCCAAATTTTGACTTCTTAGCTTTATTCTACCTAACTTTATTTCATCTATTCTACTTTGTTTCCTCCCTGAGACTTTGGTCTCTTATTCTTAAGGGGTTACAGAAAGCCAGTGGTCTACTTCAGGCTGAGGAGGGGGATTGATCCTGCCTTTCTAGGAACCAAAAGTCTCCTTCTGACTGAGCTAAAGGAGACATAGGAATATTGAGTTCCATCTTTTGAAGAACCATGTATTTTGATAACCTGAAAGAGGGCAGGGACGTTAGTCCACAAGAACAGTGCATTAAGAATCCCAGTGCTAGGACTGGCCAAATAGCTTAGCAGACTGAAACGCCTGCAAGCAGGCACAGGGGCTGGAGGTTCGATCCCTGGGCCTGCTGTGCTGGCCCCACCCCTGGGCATGCAGAGATGGTGATTGAGACTGGGCGTGGTGGCATAATGCTTGTAATCCCAGCTCTTGGGAGGCAATAAACAGGCAGATCACAATGAGTCTGATCTAGTAGTGAGACCCTTAAACACCCTGTAGACCCTTACCTAAAATTATTTAAAAAAAAAAAAAAAGAAAAAGAGAAAAAGAAAAAGAATCCCAGTGCCCAGTATTGTAACCAGAAAAATATGGGCTTCCCCCACCAGATGGTTCAAGAGAACCAGGACAACAGCCAGTTGTTAGGGTTTATGGCAGAATCTGATATCACATTTATTTGTGAAGGTAGATCATGGAATGCAGAGGACACATCTGCAGAATTGTCAGGAATGAACATTCTGTTTGATAGTGGCATATGTTCTGTCTTGTGCTACTGTTAGAAATCTAGGGCCATTTGGTTTTATAGAGGAACTTTTCTCATTGTTTTTACCTCTGAATGTAATAATAATGAGATACCCTCTGCAGTATTATTTAGAGCTCTTTGTGTACAAGTTAGTAAGAGATTCAGTGTGCCCCCTTATATATCTCAAATCTTGTTTGGAGAATGAAGATGGCACCCTGATGGTCAGATCAATGGAAAACTGATCAGGTCCACTGATGACTCAAGACTGGGAGGCTGGCTGGTTGATCTGTGGTTTTAACCCAGGGCCCTTGAACCCATAGTATATCTTGCATCCTAAGGTATTTCTCCCTATCCACCTTGGAGGCAACCAAGACCATGGCTTCCTACCATGGTTGCCACTGTGCACTGTTTGGGGCTGGCCATCGTATTCCAGCTCTTATCCTCCAGGCAGTAGCACACAGCAGTGTGATTACAGCTATGGATAGGAATGCACCTGTACTGATGTAGGGGAAAAGTAATTTCTAACCTGCTAGAGGCCAGACACACCAAGCTCGTGTTCCTTGGAGTCAGAGAGTGAATTCTAAGGAATAACAGAGGCTAAGAGTAAGCAAATTTATGAGGAATAAGAAGGGAATAAGAATAGCTCCCGAGAGACAAGAGGGGCCTTAAATTTATTGCCAGTGAGCCCACTTTTCTGAGAAAGTTTTATAGAGCAAAATCATGAGGTGGGAGTGTGGGTCAAAACGAATCAGCCAGTGAGAATGCAGGTATAGTCACTTGGGCTAATGTTGATACAATCTGCAGGTTAGGGCAATTGTATGTTTTTGGCCCTAGGGATACCATCAACACCAGTCGTGGCCAGGCATGGTGGCACACACCTATAATCCTACCACTCAGGAAGCTGAGGCAGGAGGATTGTTTTGAGTTCAAGACCAGCCTGGGCAACAGTGTGTGCTCAAGGCTTCCCTAAAAACTATGTAGAAAGACCCTGTCTCAAAAAGACAAAAAATAAAATAAAACACCAGTCACAATACAGGTCTTAGTTGAAAGGGATACAGATTTATAAGCCCCAGTATCCAAAAGAAAACTAGTATTTTTACGTTCTACATCAAGAATTGCCCAAAGCTCATCCAGGGTGTTATCTACTTTGTTGAGAGGATTTTTTTTTTTTTGAAACCGAGGATTGAACTCAGGCCCTTACATTTTCCAGGCAAGCACTTATTCTACTAAGCCATCTCCCTGGTCCCTTGAGAGGGGTTTTGAGAGACTTTGGGCTCCTTTAATCTTCTAGGGCAGCCAACAGGTGATCAGGTGGCCTCTCCTGTGGAAGAGAGGGCAGTCTCATTTCCATTGTCTTCCCCCTTTACAGTGGAGACACAGCCCAGGTGGAGAAGGGCCCAGCTTACTACAGTTCTTTCACAAGTGTCCAGGCTTTCCACAGCAGTAGCAGCCACCTGGTCTCTTATTCTCCCTCTTCCTTTTTTTGGGGGGTGGGGGCAGCTCAGCCCTGCCCTGAGGTTGCGGTTGGCGCCACGTGTGGTGCCTGGAATCAAACTATTGTCCTCTGCTCCTCCTAAGCTTGCCTAAGCAGTTGCTTTAGACCGCTGAGCTATCTTGCCGACCCATTCTCCCTCTTCATACAAACACATTTTTTTTTTTTTTTTGGAGAAGGATCTACAGGGTGTTCAGGGTCTCACTGCTAGATTGGACTTGTAGTAGTCTGCCTGTTTACAGCCTCCCAAGAGCTGGGATTACAGGCATGCACCACCATGCCCAGTCTCAGTTGCCATCTCATCACACCCTGGGGGCGGGGCCGGCACCGGCACCGGCATTGGCATGGCACGTCCAGGGATTGAACCCCTGGCCCCTAAGCCTGCTTGTAGGCGCTTTAATCCACTGAGCTATTTGGCCGGCCCTTCTCCGTCTTCGTAAGTGGAGTCTTTGCATCACTCTGATGAGGTAGGGTCTGTTTTGAAGCAATACATTGGGCCTGTCCTGTATCTGTTGTCATCTCCCCTGGACCTTGGCATTAGCTATTACTTTGTTCCTGTTGTTGAAGACCCCAAAGACCAAGTTTAAAAGTTCCTTAACAAGGGCCTGCTTTGAAGTTTTCTGGGATATCTGGGGCAGACTGCTTTAGCATTCAAGAATTCAACCTCCACCAGGTCTGGCTCTGTTTTAAAGTTGGTCCTATTGATATTGGTCATAAGATTGTAGAAGAGCCACACAATTCTGGGTCTTGATGTGGGGCCATAAGAACCTGAACCTGCAGGATTTCTGTCCACTTGTCTGCTTTCTTACAAATAGATCAACGTGAACTATTGTGTTAACATTTAAGGTGCTATTCAGCAGCTATGTCTAACTGTACTGACCCCATATTGAATTGCAAAGAAAAATCCTCTTTCTTTTTTAAATGCTCTGCTTTAAAAAGGTCCCAATTACTCATAATAAGCCTAAAGGTGATGTTTTAGGTTTAAAGTGAGTTATCCATGCTCCAGAAAGGGGACTGCCTGCTTCTAAGATTTCCATTATGTACTTCTGGAACAAGATAAAGACAAGAAAAGATGGGAACTGCAGTCACACCTTGAGCACACTTTACAGCTGGGGTCACTGCAGCCTGGCCCATTTCCCAGTCAGAACTGCCCAGGACAGCAGCTCTGCTTTCTGTCATGTTCGGTCTGAACGGTCTTGTTCCTGGGACATGGCTACTCCAGCACAGATCAAGGATGCAGGAAAGTTGTTCACAACAGCTGGGCTTCACTCAAAAATCTACCCCAAAGATCTGTATGTCTAGAGACTCCTAACATACATGAGGAACTCGGCTTTCAGAAATCTGGGGCTTTTGCCTAACAAGAGGTCACATATTGGGTCGGATAGATAGTTTACTGGCATAAGTGCCTGCCTGGCAAGGGCAAGGTCATGAGTTTGATCCCCAGTACTGATGATGATGATGATGATGATGATGATGATGATGATGATGATGACTGATGATGATGATGATGTGCAGGACTAGAAA